TTTTTTTTAAAAAGTACTTTAAACTGTATAAATAATGTAAAATTAAATTGATTTAAACAGCCAATCATACGAAAGTTTGCCTACGAAACATTACCCATATCAGCAGATTTTTGGTAATAAATAAATGCCTTGCGTTCATCCTTTTCAACCCCTACTGTATCCCAAATTCATAATTTTAATGACTCATATTGCTTTTTTAAATACGATAAAGTGCAAAAATTTGAACTAGCAGTAAAAAATTATTCAAATGCAAGTACACTATATACTGTTTTATAGAATTTTATATTACTAGGGGTCAAGTGGGTTCACACTAGGCCCTTTACTAGTGCTGATATAGCTCAATTCGGGGTATTTCAGGTTCGTCGACGAACACACAACGTTGGACGACACCTTAATTTAACTACAATTTTACAATCTTTGAGAAGCACTCCAATCTTTATTTCGAACTTTATTGTTAATGGGAAAGAGAGCTAATTTCGTTTACTAATCATTTATTCTATTTACCCTAACTACTAATTGGTTTTATCAAACCATATATAGATGACTGAATTTTTACTGCGAGATTACAAACTACAATAGACTCTACCTAACATGCATGAAATCACTGACCTAACCGAACCGATATTAATATTAATATGCACTTTTTATCCGGACCGTCACGAGGCATCACGTGCACACGTGACATCGTGAACCAAATTTTAAGTTAAGTGTCGTAGCTCACCCACAAAAAATTTTACCCCTCGTGATTTTTATCCATTTGGAATGTTGAGATTAGGGGTTAGGGTTATGCTAGATTAGGGTTGGGGTAAATTCATTGATTAATGTTTTTGTGGGAGATCTAAAGGCGGTAACCAAGTTCACGATCGTCTTCTAAGCCAAACATCCGCGAACATAATACATAGGGGTTTGGTCGTCCCCACAACCCTAGGAGTGTTACAACTTATAGCAACGCAAACGAACATCCGACCCCAAAACTTTGGGTAGATTGAAGAAAAGTTAACTCAGTGATCGTCACAACATCACATGACAAGTGTTCGGCCTAAGTTAGGGTTAGGTTAGGGTTGGGTTAAGGTTAGAGTTAGGGTATATTAGGCCAGTTTGTTTTAATTCTGGTAAACAAATTACGTCATTATATGTTTATCATGTGATCGTCGATCACTGAGTTAACTGTTCTTCAAGTGTCCCAAAACTTTAATTCGAGTTATATAACTTAGAATTCTGGAGTTGAATTTACGTTGCCCAATTTTTTTCGTTGTTTTGTAAATTTTGGTAAAGTTTCTAAATCGGTATAAACATTTAGAAATAATAACTTGCAAGCAGTTTTCTCTGCAAGGCATTGTGAAGTCGATCACTGCCTGAAATTACCATTATGAACGTAAACGTTACTCTGTTTGAAGTTGCTATTTCAATTTTTAATTATTATTGCTTGATCATAGTTTATTTCTATAATGAAGAAACAAATGAGAATAGAACCACTATCTCTGATTGACTCTAACGTGTCATATACAGAAATTATGCGAAAGAAACTAACGCCAACTTCCGAATAACATGACTATCATAGTCTACAAAAGCATACAACGTAACAGGGAAAAGTTTCTAACGACCCGAGCTGGACAATATATCAACAAATATATCCTAAATATATTCATATAGCTATAAAGATAACGGAAATGTCCTTACCGTATCACCACAGCCGCGGAACCTAGGAAAACTATCAATTTTTGGTCCTTGCACTGCCATAACAGTTACGGAGCCTAACATCTGCATATTTAGCAGTAAAGGCGGAAAACCAGTTCTTGGAAAAAGATTTGAAGATATTGTCACTATATAATAGAATAAAATTAACATAGAATCAGTAATTGGTAAGCAAGTTTATACAGTAATCGATCAAAGAAAATACCTTGAAGTTGTGACAATTTAAGAGTTTTTGTATTTTGCTCCATGGTCGTTGAAGATATATTAACATTTTAAAACTCGTATATATTTATAAATTTAAATTCAAAATAAACATTATACACAAATAATTTGAAAGCATTCATTATGGAACACATCCTAGACTTTAACTCTATTAATCAGAAAATTGTTACCTGATAATGCTCGTAAATGTATCCAAATTTTTGATAGGTCATGCACATCGTGGTTTGGGAATGTGTTATTACTCGCCGTATTGATCAAATTAATGGAGAAATAATACGATGGATCTAAATTTATGACTGTTTCATACATGACATTACAGTATTACTAGAAAAACCATAACGTTTCGGCCACCATCTGAAATACGTATGGTTTTGAATCAAAATACAAAGGAACACAAAAAAAAAATATTAATTTTCATAAAATTTGTCGGTTAAAAAAATGCTGGATCGACTTCGGAAAGAATTGTATAACGATAAGAAAACTGGATTGTCCTAAGACATGAAGAACATCGAGAATTGGACCTTGTTTAGTAAACTCTAAGTATTAAAACTTCGTTATAATATGAATAGCGAATAATAAATTACATTGATATCATTTTTTTTTGTAATAATTAAGCAAATAAAATTCTTGAATTTATATTATTTTTTTGTAGTGCATATACATTGTTAAGTCTCATACATATATTTATTGCTTATAGTGGTGACAAACTAATACCTAAGTAAATTTCCAAATTCATTATTCCATTGACTTGAATATATACACCACTGTAATAATCCAGAAAACTAATAAAGATTCAACACTGCATTTTGTATTTTCCATAAATCCAAATCGAATCCACCAACTGCATTGGGAGGAATGCCATTAGGAGTGCCATTGAAAAGTTCAGCAGCAGGAATATTCAATTGATAATTTGGAATTCTAGGACCATTGCAAGCAATTGCATTAAACCTTCCTACACCAGTAATGTTAGCATCTGGAACGCCCATATTATTCAAAAGAAAATCTATTGTTTTATTGTGGAGAGGTGCAGTGCCGAAAGAAATTACAACATCTGGTGCCGTCGGATATTGATTTGTACGTAGATAACGCATTGCAAGCATTGCTCTTGTATGATCCTGGCGAATGGGAAATAGCTTGATGACAAGGTAAATTTGAATTGTTGTTCGTGATGAAAAATACCTTGTTGAAAGATCATGTAAGCTGGAGACAGTTTCGATATAACCAACTTCAGTAACCATTGTTGGATATGGTGCCCCGCTCGAGTTAGATTCGTGACCAGGATGAGGTGGAGGAAGATCCCTTGGCCGAATAGTAAGATCAGCTGTACAGTAACTTGATTCCAAGATAAGATCTTCTGCAAATGCACCATTCAATTGATCATCCCAGCCATATATCAAGTTTGAAATTTCGCATACTACCACACCATGATCCGCGAGTGTTACTTCATAAGCTATGATGTTTCCATCGATCAAGCGAATTTTGACAGGGAGTTTTCGTTCAGCTTTGCAATATTTAGTGTAAGTTTCAAGGGACACATTTTTAGCAATAATAATTGGCTTAACAAACTCCTCTGCCTCCATGTTTTCTTGTTGAAAAGCAAGTAAGCGTTCTCTGGCTGAATTAAGGTCCTTTTTGCGCAACTGAAGCCGAGTTGTTGACATATCAGATGAAGTTGAAAAGGTCGTTATGCTCAAGAATTGATTCATCGAGATTTACATTCTGGCAATATCTTGCAAGATCATTTACATAGTGCATACATTACAGATCTGGGACTTTTGATAGCTTCTAATACGAAACAGGATGGAAAAATTAATGGTGTTATGCCATATGTAGCACCTGAAGTTCTAATGGATAAGCCGTTCACGCAAGCTGCAGATATTTACAGCTTTGGAGTCATCATGTCTGAGATATCAACTGGAAGAGTTGCATTTAGTAGTGAATCTTTTAATCTTAATCTTGCGGTAAAAATTTGTCGGGGAAAGAGGCCAGAATTTGATGAGAGAACACCTGATTGCTACGTTAAATTGGCCAAGAGATGCATGGACCGGAATAAGAATAAACGGCCTACGGTATCTGTTATTGCTCATAAAATTGGCCATTGGCTTGACGAGATGGAACAGGATGATGATAATGAAATAAAAAAGCAATATTTGGAAGCAGATAAAATTAAATTTAATATCGGATCATCAAAACATCCGAATGACATGTATACCAGTAAACTTATCAACACACGAGAGATAACAGAAAAATTTTCAGATTTGTCTGAAATTCCTGATAATCAATAATCAATATTTTGCTGTTCAAGTTTTTTATCCAAAAACTGTTAAAAGAACAACGGAATATATTTTTATTTTTTCTACGTACAAGGCTGTCACTTTTACTATGTCCAGTCCAGTAGCTAAAGGTAGACTGGACCATATTGGACTTATTAAATTACTATGTCCAGTGGCTCAGTACTGGAATATGTCAATGTAGTCCTGACTACGTAGTATATAATATATGAAAATTGGATATAAGTCGTATCAAACAAAAATTACATTCAAAGTTTGAGTTTGTGTAAAGGATCTATATCGGTATATTAAAATTTTAAGCGTCTATTACTTAAGTAACACTACAAATATACAAGCACTGCGTATTTTAATGAATATGTTATGTTATTACGTATTGGTGAAGGTATATGGGTGTCATTAAAGGAAACTTGTAAACGTGAATTTTATTATTCAACTTATCGGGCTTAGTGTTGTATTATAAGTTGCACGAATGAACTTTGACGTTGAAGAATTTAATAATATAAGAATTGGTATGTATGTGTACTTACAAATCATACAAAGAGAAATTTTATCACTTTAAAAGGCTTTCATGTCAATCCAGGAATATGGATTTGAAGCGAACACATCTGACTGAAAAACGTTTATTTTCTCATTCTACAAAGTATTATACGCTTCAAATGAAAGTAATTTTTTTTTTTAAAAAAAAAAAAAAAAATTTATTATATATTACAATATATTATGTGTCTTGAATTTATATTATATTATAGGTACAAGTAACACTTGTTATAGTGATCTACACCATTAGAAAAACTTTTAAAATTTTATTAATATCAAGAATTTGTTGTAGGTGAATAGCGGCAAATTCAGAATCAAATTTAACTATGTTTTAATAAAAATATATATCGATATACAGTCGTCATTCTTCTATTATGTGTGTTTTCAAGCACCTCATTCTTTGCAGAAACCTTTGATTTTGCTAAATATATTTACTATATAATAAGAATATAATTAAGATATAATTAAAATATAATTAAAATATAATTAAAATATTTTTATTCTTTTAAGTTACTTTTAACAATCTTTTTATCAT